AGCGAAGGAACCTTTAGTCGAAGTTGGTACAAACGAAATGTTCTTTACTGTAGACCAAAATGACTTGATATGCCGAGATGGACGTTTCAAAGTAATATTTGATCTTTTGACCCACTGTTTCGAAAATTACAGAGATTAGGATGGCTCACGAAAAATCGCAATTAAATTCATTTTCGTAATTTAAAGTAACCGGCAACTGTAGTCTGCTATTTCATTGAGGGAACAACTTTTTGAATGAAGCTGTATGGGCTATATTTTCCTAGTGTGTACGTTGCAATCTACACCATTTCATAAAATAAATACTAAGATTAATTGGCCAGCTATCGGGGACAATTATGATGCTACCTTAAGCAGCGGAGTAAACGACATCCATATGCACAAACTCGTCCTAATAAAATCGGTGGACAAATTGATAGCGTGTTGTTATACTACAAGGCAATTCAGTCATTATCAGAAAAGACTGACAGGTTTCAGTAAACTTCAAGTATAGTTACAGTTGACAATCGGTAGCCTGCATTATCTTAAGCATTCTAAGTAAAAAGAACAGTAACTTTAAAGAAGTCTCGTCTACTCTGTATTTTGTTGTACTAAAGAGATTCTGGATCAGAATACTGGGCATACTTTGGGCAAAATATGAAATTCCATTAAAAAATATTAAATCATGGTGGACTAAAAGGTAATACGCACCAACTCATTAAGAAGAACGCGGACTTCATAATTGTGAGGAGGCGCAACCGCCAACTGTTTCAGTGGGAACAAGCAAATTTTGGTTATTTTCGAGCAGTACATTCGCAACGCCGAGGCGAATATATGTGCCGATACGTCCACAGCAAACAATATCGCCTCACGTGCAAGTAAGAACGAAAAAATATAAGAAATTTTTGCTTCTGTTATTTCCGGCATCGTTGGCTTCAATTATCGCGCAGATAACGAAAAAATCCGTCGAGATTAAAGTGGTAACCACGCCAGCGACGGAAATTTTGAAAAGACGTTTAACTAATCAGTATGATAAAACAAGCCATCGTATAATTTGGAAGCAATGGCTCATTTACTCCCTTGATGTGCTTAACAGTTTCCTTTAGTTTTCTCTATCTTGCCCCACTAGAGCCTTGGAATAAATTAACAATGGAAGTGATAAGGTTGAGAGATATTAGATGGGGCACTGCAAAAAAGGAAAAATTTCTCCTTCTGCCTAAAGTCGTTTCTGTCATCCCTACTGCCACTAATTTGCAAATGCTAATGCCCACAGTGACCCAAAGATAGCAGTTAATGTCACTTCTAGTTCATCAAGTTTCGCGAACGAATCTGTGCTTTGATATAGTGTACTTTGGTTAATTCAAAATACATACATTTATGTGTTATGCGACCAGAGCAAGCTATATAAACTATCAAAACAGACGTTGTTTTTGTCGTCGTCGTCGTCATCAAAAAGCTGTTTGTTTGACTTCATCTGGATATGCGTTGTTCGGCAATGAGACTGCTACCGGTATCGCGAAAGCAATTTGCGCGTCATACACTACGATCTGCACCATAGAGCGAAGCACTAGGCGAAGGCGAAATCACATTTTTTTGAAGTTTCGCAAACGTAAGGCCTCGAATGAACTTCAGTGGTATCTCACATTACTTGAATATCGCACAGTTGGCCAGCATGTAATCGGCCGATATATGGGGGTTAAGTTGTAGCAAACAGAGCTGACCCTGGGTTTGTTTAACCAGAGTGGGACACA